GGCCTACTGGTTTTGTTTTGCTGTGAAGTGAACTCGTCTCACTGCATCTCTCCGTCTCCCGGGTTCAGGCAATTCTCATGCCTCAGCCTCCTGAATAGCTGGGACTACTGGTGTGTGCCACCATACCTGGCCAATATTTTGTATTTTTAGTAGAGATGGAATTTTACCATGTTGCCTAGGCTGATCTTGAACTCCTGACCTCAGGCAATCTGCCTGTTTCAGCCTCCCAAAGTGCTGGGGTTATAGGCGTGAGCCCCCGTGCCCAGCCCCATGTTCCTTTTCAAGATTTATTTTAATGATTGATTATGGTGCCTTTTGTCCATCTTGATAAACGTGAGCAACAGTTAAATCCCTCCAGCGCCTCCCCAAAGACCGAGGGGCGGGCAGTCTCAGGGTGTTTCTTGAGGATGCTTAGGTGCCTAGGGTTCCATTTATAAATAGTTCCTTGAATAAAAATCACACTTGGACTTAGGGGCAGCTGGAAAGAGGGAACTAAAGACTTTTCCTCTGTCCACCTCCAGCAAAGTCCAGGCACCTCAGCCAGCACCATGTCTCAGCTGTGGACACAGGCAGCCCAAGGCTGGAGGGAGAGGGGTCCCAGGAGGCCGGGCCTTGTGGGATGAGGCCACGGTATACCCTGAGTCCCCTTCTCTGCTGCCCTCGGGGGTACACCGTGGACCACAGCTCTGTCCATACTAAAACATGACCAAAGGCTGTGGTTTTGGGCTTTGTTTCAGAACTCACCTGGAGCCTCTTTGTCTGGGTATTGAATATTTTGAGTTCCTGAGAAATGAACGCAAATCAAAGGGAAGCAGCTCTCGAGACCGAGGAGCTTCAGACAGTGCAAGTCTCAGGGCCTTTTCAGGCGTGAACATCCACCGCCCGCCTCCTTTTCTAGAAGGGAAGGCCCATGCCACAGTGTGCTTTCGTTGGTTTCCATTTCCCGAACCTGCCAACGGGACATGATGCCAGTGGTGGCTGAACGTGCCTCACTCTAGGCCCTTCTGGGATGATCCTCACCACTCGGTGAGCAGATGCTGTCCACGCCCCTCACCGATGTGAATGTGTACATGCGGTGTGTGCGTGGAATCCAGGCCATCCAGGATGCTGTGCTGTGGCTGTCCCCATGAGGCCTGTGTGAAACCAGCACCGTGCATCCATTGCCACCCCTCAAGGGGTGACCGGAGCTGTGTGCTTCCTGGGACGTTGCTAAGCTGCACTGAGGTGTAACTAACGACACGTGGCTGCCACCTCACACAAGCATTTGTCGTTTCCTTCAATGTCTGTTGTGCCCCAGCCCCTACGAGCCACTGAAGAGCCAGACCCAGTCAAGGCCGTCCAGCCAAGGAGAGGGTGGTGCAGGTGAACGGCATGCTGCAGGTGCTGTGGCACCTCTCTGTTGCTGTGGTGGTGGTTAAGCTCTGGCACTAGTGGGGATGCCGACCCCACCAGGGTTGGGGATCTTGTGGCCTTTGGTTGGCTTCACAAGCCTCTTATGTTGGGGGAATCCAGCAGGATACTCCTTGTCCTCAGCCTTCCTCCATGCTCCCATTTCCTCCTATGTACCTCTGTGTGGCCAGCGCCAGCGTCCCTTTCCCAGCCGGACCCTGGGCACATCCCTGTGCACTTGGCCGATGCACTCACTTCCCAAACTGAACTTAACATCTTCATTCCCTGATGCCACCTCTTTGTAAGTAGCAATGCAGGGTTCACTGTGGCACCTGGAGCACCTACTCTCCCCCCCGAGCTCTGCCCTTCCTCCTCCATTCAGCTGCCATATCACGAGCCCATAACATGGCTGGCAAGAGCCATTTCCTGTTTAAAACTGTTCAGGAGGCTCTGCGTGGTGGCCCACACCTGCAATCCCAGCTACTCGGAAGGCTGAGGCAGAACGACTTGAACCTGCGAGGAGGCGGAAGTTGCTGTGAGTTGAGATGGCACCACTGCACTCCAGTCCAGGTGACAGAGCCAGACTCCGTCTCAAAACAAAACTGTTCAGACTTGGTACCTGCCCCGCCCTGTTTTGAAGAGGTGCCTTGCGTTTCCCCAGCAGATAGGGGTCTGCCGTTCCCAGGGCTGTTCTATGGGCCTTCGTATTGGCACAGTGCAGGCAGACCGCACTGGCCTTGCCGTGTTGTTTGGCGTTTGTCCACCCCTGAGCTCCCTAGGAGCGAGAGCAGGGCCTTGGCAAGGTGTTCACAGTGCCTGCCACACGTTACATGTTGGAACGAGCCGATCTTCTGATGCGTCAGGCGTGCGTTTTTGGGTGTTGAATAATCTGTAGTGTGTGAATGGTATTCCTAATTTGTGTAAGTAGGGACTAACCCCCCTTTCTCTTAAAAAAGCCAAGGAAAGCAGCAGTCTCCCCAGGGGCCTCGTGGATCGTGCATATTTGGGAAAAGTGTGTTTTATCTGCAGGAGTTTGCTTTCATCTGCGCGTTGCCAGCCAGGCTCCTGCGCTGCGTTCAGACTCCACTTGGGGAAGGAACTGGAGCTTCGCCACAACGGTCATGCCGGCGGCAGCTGCGAACATTCCTCTCATAGCTTCTCCGTGATTTCAGTGTGTTTTTTGCTGGAAGGGTGAGGGGGCGGGCAGAGGGGAGCGGGACGCTGGCAGATCTTGTTTTTGTTTTTGAATTTTATTTAACTTGCGGTTACAAAGCAGGATGTTTTCTGGTATGTTTAGTTCTCCTAATAAAAAGAAGCTTGAACTGTTGTGACCAGCCTACATTTCAGTAATTTATAAGGTTTAATATTTAATTTGCACACAGGAAGAAGCAGAAATTCCACCCAAACAGTAAATTATCTATGGGCTGTAGAATTAGAAGTGACTCATTTTTTTCTACAGCTAATGCGTATTGCCTTTTTAGTACAAATTGCTGTACTAAAATTGTTTAAACAATTAGTGGTAAATTTCCAAAGAAGAGTAATTACTGGTATTACATGGAAAGTTTTAAAAGGCTATGTAGAAAGACTTTAAAAAATGTTTGGCTTTCGGAAAGTGGGGTTGCTGTAGGAGGATGGGACTGAATGGCCGTGGGTGCCCTTTTGGTTTTAATTTGGGGAATGTTAGGTTAATTTGTGAGAAAGCTGAGTTGATTTTTTTCTTAAGGATGTTTGTGTAAGACCCACTGACAGGTTTG